TAATTTCTATGATGGATAAATGAATTTATTTGATTGAAAGTGAAAAAAAATAATTTGCAAAGTACCTAATAATTATTATTTAGAAAGACAGGAAAATTTAACCTAGTCAAACAACTTAACCTAGCCTATGTGTAAACAACTTAAGAAAAATAATTTTAAAATTCAATCTGTAGGATGGCAGGATTTAATATTTTTGTTCTAAATCTTTTGTTGGTATCAATGGTGTCAAAATAAAAAAAATCTAATTTCATAAACTTGTGATACAAAACATTGGAATCTATAGCAAATATTGGAATCTATAGTAATTATTTTAAGTTTCTGGGCATCACCATTGACCGGGGGCTCACTTGGAGTAACCACCTTGACAACGTCTGCACGAGGGTATCTTCAGGCTGTTTTGCCTTAAGAGTCCTCTCAAAATTTTGTCCAGAAAATGTCTTGCTAATGGCCTACTTTGGCCTTATTTACCCCCATCTTTCTTATGGAATTGCAATTTGGGGTGGATGTGCAGAAGTGGACTTCCACAGGTTGTTCCGTCTTCAAAAGAGAGCACTCAGAATAGTTGCTAAACTACAGGTGAGAGAGTCTTGTAGGACCGTCTTCAGGGAGCTAGGCCTGCTTACTCTTGCCTCTCTGTATATCTTGGAAGCTGCCACGTTTTCCAAATTTAAATGCAGCCTAACACAAGGCCAGGACATTCACTCCTATTCAACTAGAGGCAGAGAACAATATAGGTTGGCCCAAAACAGGTCCCGTGCAGCCTCAAGCTTGCCCTCTCAGACGGGGGTGAGATTTTTGAATAGTCTTCCTGAACAGATAAGGAAAGAAAGGAACGAAAAACGGTTCAAACGGATTTTGAAAAGATATCTGATTAATAAAGAATATTACACTGTGGGTGAGTTTTTTGACACAAATGAGTAGATGGTGTTCGGCTGCTCTGAGGTTTTCAATCAATCAAATGACAAGTTCTGTGTAATTTTTTAATCATTTGTATTATTAATTGTTTTATGATGTTGTATTTATTTGTTTTGCTGTCGCTTGTTATGCCTGTATTAAATGTTGACGGATGCCATGCAATTTTATATTTGTTTCACGGCAATAAAGATATTATTATATTATTATTATTATTATTATTATTATTATAGCACAATAAATCTTTCAAAATTATATTAGGTTCGGCCAAAAAACAGGAGATACGTTTTTTAGTAGGTTTATCCAAATATATTATTGTTTCCAACCAAGCGGTAACACAGAAAAGTTTAATTAAGCCTACTTAAAAGTATTCTATCATTCTGCCTAGATGTCAAATAGGCCTTAGGTCTGTCTAGCCTTCCAAACCATTTATACAATAAAAATGTTGCATCATAAGTACCCAACAATTCCTGGATATTTATAAATTAAAATAATTTTGTTTATGTTATTTAATTGGTTATAAATTTATGAAATTATAAAAATTGAAATAGCCACAGCCTTTTTTAATACATACTATTTTTTAGTGAGTTAAATTTAACTGATGTTACTCGATTTAAGACACAAAACCCCATGCTTATTTAGAAACTTTATGTATTATTAAAAAAAAGTGCTAAATCATTAAGCGAGCAAAGCTTCAAGTTACTGTAAAAGGTGTTATTGACTATCCTAATTTATCATGTAACAATAACATATTTAGGGGTAAATATAAATGAATTTCAATTGATTTTATAAATACCCAAAATACCCGGGTATTTATGGATTTTGGGTATTTTATTTACCCCGAGTTTTAAATACCTGGGTATTTTACATCACTAAATGAGATGGATTTTGAGTCTACAACGGTCACACAATAGTGGTCAGTAGAGATGTTGTCTTTAAACCTTATCAGAAAGGAGGGGTTGTCAGAGCAGAGGGCATCACAGAAGATTGGGCTAAGACTGTTCCTGATGAAGACAAAGAACTTGACAAAACCGTTTCCATTCCTATCCTATGCGAAGACAAGAGTCAGCCAATCAATTATCAAGAGGAAAATGAAGAAGCTGAACCTGATGAAATTGAATATTGTGAACGACCGGAAGAGGAAGATCGACCTGATGAAATTGAATATTGTGAACAACCGGAAGAGGAAGATCGACCTGATGAAATTGAATATTGTGAACAACCGGAAGAGGAAGATCGACCTGATGAAATTTAATATTGTGAACAACCGGAAGAGGAAGATCGACCTGATGAAATTTAATATTGTGAACAACCGGAAGAGGAAGATCGACCGGGAAGGAAAAGGCAACCACCTAGTTATCTTCAAGATTATGTTCTTGTAGCTGAAGCTGGACCAACATATAATGAGGCCGTTAGTAGTGAAGAGTGGTTTCATTGGCAGGCAGCTATGAATGATGAGATGGCATCTCTTCAGAAACACCAAGTTTACAAGCTTGTACCGTTACCCAAGAACAAGAAAGCAATTGGAGTAAGATGGGTTCTTACAAAGAAGAAAAATCCAGATCGATACAAAGCTAGGCTTGTTGCAAAGGACTAGGCTCAGAAAGAAGGAGTAGATTATTTTAGCACCTACAGTCCTGTAGCAAGATTCGATACTCTAAGGACAGTATTAAATATAGCAGCACAGGGAAGCATGTTTTTGAAACAATTTGATGTAAAAACAGCATTTTTACATTCAAAGCTAGATGAAGAGGTTTATGTCGAGCAACCTGAAGGTTATAACGACAACTCCGGAAGAGTGTGGAAACTACAACGTAGTTTATATGGCCTTAAGCAAAGTCCTAAGTGTTGGAATAAAAGACTTTCTGAGTTCATGAAATCTCAAAATTTCAAACCGAGTACAGCAGATCCTTGTTTGTTCCTTCGTGAAGGAAATGGCGAAAAGATGTTCGTCATCATTTATGTGGACGATGGACTCATATGTGGTACTTGTGAAAAACAAGTGAATGTATTTGTGCAGAACTTGAAACAAAACTTTGAAATCAAAGTATCAAAACCTGAAACTTACCTTGGAATCGAGATTGTTCAAACAAGTGATGGAATAGTTCTCAGCCAGAGGGCATACTTAGATCAAGTTCTAGAAAGGTATCGGATGTCAAACTGTAACGCAGTGTCAACACCATTTGACAAATCCGATGTCAACACAAATGCAAAGCCTCTATCAACAGAAGTACCGTATCGTGAAGCTGTGGGCAGTTTGCTATATTTGACAAACACTCGCCCAGACATCTGCTATGCAGTTAGTATGGTGGCACAGCATGTGACTAGTCCAACCATCAAAGACTGGAACCAAGTCAAGAGAATCCTTCGTTACCTGCAAGGTTCTAAGGACTACGTTCTACGCTACACGAAGCAGAGCGATGAACCGAAGATTCTGAAATGTTACACCGATGCAGACTTCGCAGGTGATGAAAACAGCAGAAAGTCACGTTCAGGATGTCTATGTTTGTTTGCTGGCGGAGCCATTAGTTGGTTTTCAAAGAAACAAAATTGTATTTCACTATCAACTACTGAAGCGGAATACGCTGCTGCTAGTGAAGCTGCTAAGCAAGTAATATGGCTTAAAGGCTTGTTAGAAGAAATCAGCAGTTCATCGATCGAAGCAACTATGTACATTGACAATGCTGGTGCAGTACAATTAGCACACAATCCTTCAACACATGGAAGAACAAAGCATATCAGTGTTCGGTTCCACTTTGTTAGAGAGCACTTCAACAAAGGATGTTACAAAATGGAACATGTACCTGGAAGACTTCAGTTGGCAGACTTCTTGACAAAGAGTTTACCTTCTAGTCGACTGAAGGAACTTTTGAACCTCTCAGGTTTGAGGGCAAATTAAAAAAATTTTGAAACCTGAGAGCCTGTGAGTTGAGTTGGTATTAATATTCTTTAAGAACATGTGTTGTTTATTATTGAATAATAACAAATGATTATCATTCTACTCATAACATGGGCTTTGTTAAATAAAATAAAACTAATTTCTTTATCCAACTTTTATTGTTTTTATTTAAAAAGAATCAATCAAAAATCTTATTATGATAAGACAACTAAACAAGAAACAGTATATAAAGTAAAGCCCCGTACGAAGGACGGGTACTCCACTAGTTTAATAATAAGTTTGATGTTATGTTTTTAAACAAGAAACTTTTACTGTTGCTAAAAATGTCTCCTTTATTTAAAACTAATAAATAAAAACCAAACAGTTTTCCATTGGCTTCTTTAAGTCTGCTCAATGAATAGATGACGTTTCCTCTATCTTGTCCATTCACTTAGGTTGAAGGTAAAAGGATCTGGTGGTTTCACATTTAGGGAAATTGCAGCTTCATGAGGCACACTAAGGGAAACATTAGGTTCATTAGACAACTGCGCCATGTTTTAATATTGTGTATTAATTAATATTGAGAATTCATTAGTCTTGATGCAAAAGTACATTATTTAACTGAGATTAAGTTACAAAGAATGAACATTAAAAATATAAACAATTCAAAGTAAATAATCCAACAGATGTTAATTGTAACATCTGCTTAATATTACAATACGAGGTAACCCTCTCTCACTACAGCTTGAGTGTTATCTATGTAATCCAACATTTTGCAACAGAAGAAAAGATTCTCTGACTGGACACCAAGCAAATATCCCTTGCAAAGGTAAAAGTGAGTAAACCTTAACTTGAATGCAATTTCATTTGCATTAACTTGCATATCCTACTTACGCTGGTACTACATGCCAGTGTAAACCCCGCTTAAGGCATGTGTAAAACTAAACTTAATGCAACTGTTAGATTGTGTTGTATTCCATGAATCAAGACTGACTATGCGTTGGGACAATCGAGTGGATCAAGAACGATAATACACTGATATAACACCAGCGTGGCGGTCGCCTCCCAGGTGATTCATTGTTTGTAATCATACTCATGCAAACATGCGCAAGCTGGTTTTCACTCGTAAAACTAACTGTACTGTACAATGTTACTGTATATGACGTTTAAGTATTATTTGGTCTCACTCAAATTATTGTTTTTTTTAAAGGTATTGGCAATCCAGGTGACTTGATTTCAATGAAAATCTCGGCAGCATACAACAAACTCTTGGTCCCTGGTTTGGCAGATTATGCTACACCCGAAATGATTGAATATTCGAAGAAAATTAAAGCAGATATGGAGCTTCAAGCTAGTCGAGTTCCAGTTTCTGTTGAAAGAGTAAGCATACATTTTTCTGAATTTGATTTTAAAATTTAGCCACTTTTGCACATTTTTACTTTCTCCCCCTATACCATACTATATGGAGAAAGTATTGTTTTCGTCAAAATTTTCGAGTTTGAGTTTTGAGTGGATATATCCGTTTTGGGCCCCCCTGGACCCAAAAAAGTGGTTTTCGAAGTGATGTCTGTGTGTGTCTGTATTCACCGAATAGTGGCATCCTTCACAGGCACACGGCCGTACTGTGGCACCTTAAAAAATTGTGGCACCTTTTTCAGGGTGCCACAGCTAATTCGATCATTTTTTGGGTTTTCCAGCATTATTACGTCGTTTAAACATCACATGCCACAATTGAGTATTTTTGAACTCGTTGATGTGAGTTTAAGTAGCGCAGGTACACGCCGAATTGTGAAACACGAAACCATACAGGTAGGTAGCGCGCCTCGTGCCGTCCGCTGGAACTATAACTTCCCTAATGCTATGTTGCCAATTCTTGTGCCAGCATACACTCTAAATAGTGGCACCATGCCGCAATTCAGTATATATCAACAGTGTGTGGACAGGATGCCACTTAATGAGTTGTAGCGCTTGAGCAGTGTGTAGAACATCAGTGCAACAAGCAACTAATAAACTAATAATACTGTACTGCCACGTACTATAAAACAATTTAAGTACCATAAATAATATACTTTTGCTCCGAGTGGTGAACAATGTTTTACATTACAAATATTTTGTGTAGTAAATAAATATTTAAATTTATTTTATGACACCATTAAAAACATTATTTTTTTAACAAACATAAATTGGTAACGTAGTTATTTTGTATCAATTGAATTTTTACATTAAAACAATAACAATGTTTTAGGTTAGAACACTATATAAGTTGTCTTATGCTGCAATTTTTTATCTTAAAAACAATTTCGTGCTGATACATCTATTTTATTAACATTCTAGTCATGTTGACAAAATATTTTACAATTACATTTCTGAATCACTCAGTAAAAGTAGTTTTCGATGCATCATTGCTGAAAGTTATGTTTTGCCTCTCACTCTCAGAGTATTCCAAAGACATCTAATGTTTCAATCCATGTTCAAATGTTATATGAGGTAAACATATAACCAAATCAATTAAAGTACTTAAATTAAAATACATATTATTATCAACATGCATAAGCTAGTTCAGATTATAATCATCTCACAATCATATTTGCAAAACCTACTTGACTTGATACACATAGGCTTACTAAAAAAAGTAGTAAAGACAGTAACTTGTGATGGACCGCGCAGGCATCTTGCCTCTAAGACTGACGTTTTCCGAACGAATATAGAAGTTAGATCTACATTCTTCATTTTAGGCTTGAAATAAGTTTGTTTGTGGGTAAGAACGAATGAGTAAGCACAATAATTAATCCCCTTTACCCTTCTCCCCGACACGCCACCATACAACGGCATCTTACTAGCAGAGCTCAAGGTTATTGACGTAATTGTAATGAACTTAATTTAGACTTCCACCTCCCCAATGTCACCAATAGGCCCTAAAGGTTGGTATGTAACAATTCATGACGGTTGAACAATGACCTTTAAAATACGCTTTTAATTTGTTTTCTAGCGTTTACCATATCTTACAAAAAGTTAGTTTACATAATTAATAACAACAACTTTTTGAGCGGAAGAAAAATTCTCAAAAGCTACAAATTAATTTATAATATATGTATCTATATCGTATTAAAGGTTTTGGCGTTTGGTTTACAATGTATTTTCAAAGTCACAAGGTGGTTTCTGAAACTCTTTATACAACTCTCCTTTATAAAATTTTTAAAAAATATGATCCAAGAAATTGAGCTCTTTAGCCACAAAATCCACCGTTTTTTAACTTACCTGACAAAAAATTAAAACAGTAGCAGCCGACGAACTTTTTTAGGTCATATTTTAAAACTCATTTAAAAGTACCGACTTTATTTCAAGATTTAAAATAGAAAATATAAACTTTTAAGCTTTTAATTAGAACCAATAGTGTCCTAGACTAATTGACATCTTTCATACGTAGTTTCAACGATTTACATTTAGTCTAAATAGGCTAAATGTCAAGTTATTTTGAAGCTGGACATTGAGTTTTGGTGCCGTTTTCATGGGCATCTAAAACTCTTCTAACCTGCGCTAAGATGGCGGACCTGGCTTCAACTGCTTGTATGTTAGTTAGATAGGCGTGCTCCATCTATTGGTCTTATGCTATCGTTGATTTAAACTAACGGAATTCTGATGAAAATTTGAAAATGAATTATTAGCAGTTTTGCAGGGATGATAAACAATAGTTTTTTTTTTTTTTTAATTGCTTGTCAGTTGGCAACAAATCTTAGAGATGGGTATACATTTTTAAGGACAAAATTGAATTAGAAGGTATCATGGTAAAGAAGCGTACTAGAAAAAGTTACTGTCGCCTCATCCAATTTTTCAGCAGTCAGGTGTTGACATGCTAGGCGAGCAACCGCGACAGTGAGGACGGGGAACAGCTGATTTCATGTTCCTAGTTGGCAAATTGTCTGCTAGCTACTAACGTACACATGCATAAGCCATCAGCGGTAGCACCAGTAGCCTCATTGACTATATAAACACTTGTGTTAAGGTTTAAATACAGTAGTCAATGCTATTACTGAATTTGATACTATACATATAATTGTTACTAATATATGAAATGGAGAAAAACGTTACCTTAAAAATACAAAATTTCCCAATTTATATCCAGACCTTTTTAAATAGCTTAAAAAACAAATAATTTAGTATATCAAAGTGTTTTTGTACGGTTATTGGTAACAGGACAAATTCAAAAATTGTAAATTTAAAATTCCCATGTTATTCTTATAAAGAATGTTGTAAAATGTTGTAGTTTGCTTGTTTATGGATATATTTTGATCAAACTTGGCAAATTTATTTAAACAATTACAAAACTATTTGGATCATGAACGGTACTCTAGTTTTCTTAAGGTAGGACACGTGAATTGGAATTTTGCGTTACAGACACAATGACAGAAACAATCAAACAAACGTACAGATATTGACATAAGACTCGTTTCGGCTTTCTTATTATATAACACGTAGTAATAACCAAACACTTCATGAATCTACGCAATGTACAGACAAAACAGTAAAGATTTTATAATCGTATAATTAACTATAGTGTTTCTGCCCGTGCTTCGCAACGGGGTGAGAATCTTTGGGTCTCTAAATCCACCGTAAAAAATAGTATATTTCGTACCTAGGGCCGAAAGCGAGGTTTTGCCGACTCGAGATCGGGTTTTAAGTTCGAGACGAATTCGAGAACGTGAAACGATCGAGAGCTGCAAACCCATTTTGCCTCGTAGTATGAACGCTATTTTTTACCCAAGTATGTTTTGCAATATAACGCCCCTCTTATTTATGTAAAATATTTTGAGGAATCAGCAAAATCAAAAACAACAATAAATAGTTGTCTAGGCAGCTGTGACAAAAAAACAAGTCTATTGCAATGCCATGGATACAGCTTGTGCATTTAATATACATTAATCTTTTAAGTAAAAAAGCGAACAAGTGATTTTGTGGCCCTAGGGATGTAAACGCCTGCTTGGCCCCTATATGACAAAATTAGTGCCATAGTGCATATTGAAATAATTAATTAATAGGCTGTAGCCACATATTAAAATACTGTTTACTGTGTAATGGTTAAGTTAACAAATACACTGTCACTAAATCTATTTAAATTTTGTAAAAGTAGTGATTCTACAATACTGCTTTCTTTCATGTTTCCTGTGTAGGTAAAGAATATAAAAATAAATTGAAGCTTTCGACACAGAGACACAAATCAGACACTCACTAAAGAGGGACACATTTTAATTGGCAGCTCACACTCTTTATTTATTTATTGCATGCACGGCAAACGCCATTCTACAAGAGAGTTGAGTTGATATTGATAAAAATTAAATGTGACTTAAAGTGAAATAGTTATAGTGTGAGCAATAATTAAATATTATAACAAATATGAATAATATTAAATTATCTTCACTAGTTGTTTACCACAGACGACATCGTGACACCGACCGATGTCGGATTTAGTCGCATAGTTACGAATACTAGAAAAATACCGGTATGGATCACAAACGTAAACAAATAATGTCGTTGGCCCGAATCCTATACTGAGCATTGAACATATGATTTGGCAGTTCCATTTAAGCAATGTAGGATAGGAATCTGAACTATTTTTCTCATACTGATTGTGTGACTGCCAAGTTAGGATCTTCACTATTTGTTCTTCGCAGACTTTCAAAATTTATGAGCAGAGATGTTTTGCTAACTGTATATTTTGCCCTCGTATATCCACATTTGTCCTATGCCGTTGGCATTTGGGGTTCTGAAAACGTCCACACCAAACAAATCTTTAGGATGCAGAAGAAAGCCATCAGAGTCCTAGGTCATCTCAAGCCAAGACGATCATGTAAGCGCTTTTTTTCTGAAACGGGTCTTCTCACCTTTCCGTGTATTTACATTTTTCATACTCTGCTTTTTCTTAAGAAAAACTCTGAACTTTATCAGCATCTTATACCAAATTCAATATATAAAACAAGATCTACTAATACTTTGAACATCCCCAGACACAAAACTTCATTTTTTAAAAAGCAAATGTTTTACAATTCTGTCATTTTTTTAATGCCCTCCCAAATGATCTCAGGAATGAAATGGACTTTCGTAAATTTAAGAGACAGCTTAAAGAGTTTTTAATTTGTAATTGTTTTTATAGTGTTAAGGATTTTGTTTGTTAGTGAAACAATGCAACAATGTTTACTTTATATTGTTTACCTATTGATTGTGACGCTTGCCAATGCCTGTATTTGAGTTTAACGGCAATAAACATCATTTCATTTCATTTCAATGTTAAATAATGTTTATTTTCGGGCCAAAAACGTCATTTGTTTATGTTTATGATACATACCGGTATTTTTCTAGTACTCGTGGTCGCAGTGCAGTTTTTT